TTATTGAATATATAGAGTTAGCTGATAGATTATTCCATATGGCTTATACATTATTATTTAACATATAAATATTATTTTCCATAATGGATATTTTAAAGTAATTTTCTTGAACATTTAAAAAAAATTACTTARGCTTCGCGGAACCCTGAAGTGATCTACGCGGAACCCCAAGGTTACGCGTAACAGTTTAAGAAACGCTTTTTTAATACAATAACTCCATCTCTACACATTCCATAAATGTAATACAAACTTTGAAATTMTCCATCTTCTATTTAACTACCATTAATATTAAATAGTCACTATAATTTTTTTCTCTTTTAAAATCTTTTAATATCCCCATTAAAATTAAGTAATAACCAGCAGGAGAGGAGAATAGTAATTAAAACTTCTMTTTTAAAATGGAATACTGATTTCCTATGTAGGTATACCTAACGATAATATTTCTTAATAAAAAAAATGTAAATGTAAAGTACAGTTTTTATTTTTTTACATATCCATAATATGAGGGAGAATATGTACTTATTGTACACGGTTCAAATTTTTGTTAAAATAATTGAAATTTTGTTCCTAATGTCAACATGCATATAAGTACAATTATACATCACTACATCAAGTAAATAATATTTTGGAGGTCCTACTTGATTAAAACCTAATAAACATTTTTATATTATAAATATATATACATATATACTATAAATATATATTAAAAAACATTCTATAAACAGAAACTTTTATAGTACCTGAGGGTTTGTACATTTTAACTAATAAGATTTCTGAATGAAAAGTAAAACAATCTAGCCACATATACAACTGAACAAACAATATAAATAAATAACTGGCAATTATAAAGTACCAAACTAGTTAAAATTYTTTAATAGTCAATAAATTATTATTTTAAGTAATTTAAAAAAATATACATACATAACCAATATAATACTTAGTATACCTATCTTATGTTTATTCTTATTAATCTAATCAAAAATAAGGAATTAATATTAACAGTAATGTACCTAATAAGGTGCCGTWTTACAATCATAGTTTAAACCTCGGTTATGCTTAACACACTGATTTTACCGCCCGAAATCCGCGGTTAACCCTAGTTAAATTATTGTAAAACAGGCCCTAAATGTTTTACGATTTTTTTTTTTTATCAAAATAATACTCAAGCATTAGGTACAGACTACCAAAGACTACTAAATAAATTTTTTTTTTATGTACCTACATTGTCAATGTTAAAAACACATAACAGTCTTAAGGTCTACACAAATAAGGAAAAATTTTTGGTCGCAAAACAAATACCAACTTATTTCATTAATTGTTTAAAATAGAACTAGATCCAAACAAACATTGCAAACAGTATAAAACTAATATTGAATACACAGGAAAATGTGAAATGACTAACAAGAGAGACAACCAATTCAATAATAAACTGCACTTATGTAATATGGTTAAATAGTGATAAACAAATTAAAATGTTCTTAAAATATGAATCTAGTTTTTGAATACAAATTGATAAATTGTCAGAAACTGAAAAAAACAGAAATGTAGCGCGGAAGAATTCTTTCATAATAACATCAATGATCACTTACGTATAAATCGACAAATAGACATGATCGGGAATAAAACACACACGTACTGCACACTAATGTAAATTKGATAAGGTACTTCTATATGAGCAATAACTGTGTCCACAACGGTGGATAGTCAAGAAATTGCAAATACAGACAAACCGTAAGTAAGACTGATTGAAAAGTAGTAGCACACTTGATTCACAATTATTGAAACTTCACGAACTCAATGATTAATAATAATAGTTGATTGCAAGTAGTAGTAATAGTTGTAGTATTAACTATAATAGTAAATATGTAAAATAGTAGGTACACACTACACACAGTAAATTTCTTATCAGTGCTGATAATTTTGTACCGACTACTTATCACGATAAACTTCGCGAAGAAAAAAAAATGTTTCCGACACTATTTTGTTTATTTCGATCCAAAAATTCAGCGATTTATTTCGTCGGAACGGAATTTCCTTCTGTACTACTTAACACTTTCATAATATTAATTGATTTCGTTAATTTTTTAACAACCGTAACACCAATATCAGTCTTCAAGCGCTAAACGACGCCTAACGTAGGGTAGCGTTGATGGCACAAACACACAACAAATATTTGACCAACTCCACCAATGTCGTTTGTTATTAATGTTAAATTGTCGGTTTTTTTTATTTTTTATTATAGATTTCGACGTTCGACTACACACTTACACACACATACATATCTATGTAGCTGTGTATGACCTATACGTCCGACGCCCGTCTTACATAATATTATTATTATTAACTAGGTACCTAATAATATTAACTAGGTACCAAATAATATTATTTACCATAATAATTAGGTACTATTGCATCTATTGCATCCTACAACCGATGTGTGAAGGTAGATAGTTTTTATACGACGATAAAATAACGTGTGTACCGTATCCGAGTAGCGAGTACATATTACCTCCTAAATCCGTGTTGTTGTGACGCATTATCCGTCGTTCAAATGTTGGGACAACGGCGGCGGCGGGGCGCGAGCACACACTTGTTTTTTCGTTTAGWTCAGAAAAACACTCGACTCGACTCGGCGGTAGAGAAAAACAACAACGACGTCAACGACGACGACTTACAATAATAATATTATTGAAATAACGATAATATTATATATTATATTTATTACACTGACACGCACACGAATTGTATTATAACACTTATTTTTTGACCACTTTTCGCCCTAACACTGCAATTTTTGAGGTTCGCATGCGATAATATAATATTTTAATATTATTAAGTACACCGAATGCGCAACACCACTATAATACGACGAACTGCATTTATTTACCGTCGACACGATCGTTGCTTATATAATATCACGATAAATCGGAACAAATGATACTATGTCATTAATCGATCGCGAAAACTGAGCATAAACTGAGCAACGTTAGAATATTACCCTCAGCGGAGGACGTTTTTAACAGAAAAATGCGCACAGCAAGCGCGTCGCTCCGCCATTGTCAACACAACACGCACCGCGGAGAAAAGGTCAATGACACCGAAGCCCGATGCGATCAAAACAACGCGAAATAATATCATAACGGAAAAACCCGGATTCGTCAACACAGACACACGTGAACGCGATTTTATAATATTTAATGTTATTTATTTTTTTACGAACGGTTAATATTATAATATTATAATTATAATTATTTATAATGAGAAAAACAATTAATAGTGATAATAATAATACAATACTTAATAATACACCGAGTACGATATTAATGTGATGTCTGTGGCTTTTCGTTATTACCTAAAATAGTGTTTTCGTTGGGTTAAGTCGTATACCCGTATGCGACAAATTAATATTAATAATATATTTAATATTATTATCACTTGAGATATTGTGATTGTATAGTGTATATTATGGTGTACGGGTAAAACGCAACTACGGACTTATAGTACGGCGACGACGACGATGACGGCGGCGACGTGACACGACCGACCGTTCACGAAATCGATGTTTATTTTATTATTATTATAATGCACTCGGCTGTTTTAATGAATGAGGATATATCAGATACTATACGCCGCGATGTAGGTAATAATAATATACTCGCTACGTTTATAGTTTTATATACAATTACCATACGCCATGCGTATGTCACGTTTTTTTTTCTCTTCTCTTTAATATTATTATTATTATTATTATTGCTGTTCTTATATTTGCACACACTATTTTATTATACTGTATTATTATGAACTATAGTACTATAGCCGTTGGCGTCAACTACAGTCGTATGCAATTATAATAATATTACGAAAATACGTAAATATCAAGTAGATATATTATATTATACTTTTATATAATATTATTCGAATTCGTAAATTACTAATCTTATAATACAATACATAAATAAGTATCTTATATACAATGATACAATATAAATATCAGATGTAATATAAACCTTATATATCGTGTCGATTATCGATATCGTACATTYGTACGTGAAATCACACTCTTTCGCAGCGCGGAAAAATATGCAACAGCAATAACAAAAACGGACGTACGGATTTTGCGATGCACTCCGCACTCGGACGCGACTTCGGAAAGTGTAATAAATATGTTTAATTACAATGGTAGGAACGTTATATTTTTAATAACATTGTTTTTAAAAATATCGTACCATGTTGTTACGCCTACGCGTTACGACAGCGACAATAATAATAACATAAAGTACAACTATAATATAATATTATAGGACGCCGCATATAGATAGACGTCGCAGACAAGAAGTGCGATGTGCTTCGCGCGCGTACACACACACAACTATAAAATAGTAAAATACAACGCAGTCGTTCCTCAGCGAATGCGCAATAAACACTCGCTCAGTGCTCACGCAAACACGCACACCGCGACGGTCGGCGGCGGCGGCGGCGGCGTCGGCGTCGACACTCGACACGGACGTCAGACCAGACAAAACAACATACACCGGCCTACCCCTCACTCCCCGACCGTCAATCGCCGCAGTCCCCACCATCGTTGCCGGGGCAGTGTTGTTGTTATTTACATCCTCAGCGGCGGCGTCGGAAATCGGACACGGAATGGGGTTATGGGGAAAATATGTGAAACCGTGCTCTAGATTACGGGGCGACGGGCGTGCTGCAAGTAAGTAGTCGTCACGGCCCACGCAGCCGCCGCAAACGGTAGAATTTAATACGACTCATGTACGCGTTTTTACGGCCGTACAGGCATCAACTGCTGCCCGGGGATCGATGCATCGGCCCGCAGTCGATTATATAATGAAATTAATGCATAAAATGTGCTATTATAATRATATTATGACTATACTATAAATTGGTCAGTTGTACGAGAATCGTTTTTTCGAAAACGAATCGAATCTTGACCAAAAGTGAATAAGTCATTACTCGAAATGGTTGAGTACTCAGACATTTTCGAGTTCTACATAGTTAAAAATTGATCGAATATTCGATAAATGAATTGTCTGCAGATATGAGTATTTGAAATTGCTCAAGTATTTAAAAAATAAAAATTACAGTTTCTATTATTGACTATTATTATTTTATGAGGCATTTAGTAGGTCATAGAATGTCTGAAAGTAGGTATGTAAAACCACCTTTCTACTTGCAAAAGATGGTGTAAGTCCCTGTCTAAAATTTTGTAAATTAATATTATTTTTTCTATTAATTTTTATAAACCCACAAAGTAATTTKAGCCTATTGTAAAAACATTTTTTTTACAGATTTTAAAATGACTAGAAAAAAATATCTATAGTTAAAACTTACGTCGTGATCCTTGTATTTAATAAAAGAAAAATTTTTCATCGACAATTTTAGAGTAAAAACTAATACGCACCAAAGTCAATCCAAGTTGAAGGTATTCTAGCTTAGGTTAACCAATTATCAACTGAGCTTAAGTATCAACTTATATTCAATATTTTCATTTTTAATTAGTGATATDTTTCATATAATGTCCTTATCTAAAAATTTGATGTAAAAGGTAAATTCAATGTAATATATTATTATGAAATAATTTAATAATATTTATTTAAATCGAAAATTTTACTAACTTATGATTATAATATTAATTATACCTACTATATACTGCAATAATAAAAATATATCAGCGTACATTTAAATTTTATAAAATTGCGAGGTATAAGGGGAGGGCTTATAAAAAAACATGTTTCACGATAACATACTCTCATTTCAATATTCTATTTGCAGTTAARTAAAATCTAAGAAGGCGGATGAACACCTAAACTGTGAACGCCACTACAAACATATTAATAAACAAATAATTATATGTGAAACTATAATAAATGGTAAATAATAATCGTATATAATTCTATAGTGGCGTCTCTTARTACGAAGATTATGTGAATAGTGTTCATTATTATACATGCTTATTATATACGTGACTATAATCGTACGTCATACCTTGACATACTGCCCTCGGCAATCTTCGGAAAACGATAGACGCCGACCGGAAGTGATGAGACTCGCAAACGTGCGTAAATAATTCTATAGACTATACATTCATATTTTAAATTTCACTTTTATTTTCCCAAAATGTCATCGCACAACTGACATTACGGTGGAAGCTAATAAATCACTATAATCAACGACGCGGAAATWGTCGCGGTTACCAGTTGCGARGAATATCAAATATGTCGAGCCGTCAAGGTGATGGGAGGGGAAAAATATCAGTTAATTGTTCCCAAAGAAATCATTGAGAATAATCGAACAGCTTGTCAGATGTGGAGAAAACTGGACCAACTTATGAAAAATATCGTTTAATGTTTAAATAAACTGTTTTCACGTGATCGTCTAAGCGCGAATACGTATTTGAAGTAAGAAACATTATATAGACTACAATGTCAAATGGATTGTTGCTGACGGTTAATGAAGTGTTATGACCCGGGGTGTATTTAGGGTGGGGCCGTGGGGGAACTGGCTTCAACTGCCCCGGGTGGTGGGTGCTAGTAWTTAGGGATCGTCAAAACTTAGTGGTCGGTATTTTTTAACTTGTGAATTATTTAAACTTTTAAAATTGAAATTATTTTAATAACATTATTATCTAATAATGTATTATGCTTTTCGAAATTTAAACAACTAAATAATAATGACATAAATTATAATGTATATTTTAAAGCTATCAGCGATCGAGAATTATTAATAATAGTACCTTAATATTTTTAACAAATTTGTTGTGATTCAATAGACATCAGTTATTTATAATGATACGGCGTATATTTTGTTATTTCGTGCCTACTACAAAAGTACAATAATTATTATTACAGTCAACTAACTCGAACCACAGCATCTATGCATGATGCCAATATAATTAATATTATTTCTTTTACTCCTCAGTACTCGGCGCTTGTTGATTATTTATTTATCATTAAATTTATATTATATTATTTTAATTATGAGCGGAAAAAAAGTTAAATAAATACAAAGGTCGTAAACAAACTTTGTTAAAATAAAAAAATAAATTATTTTATCAATAAACGTACCGATATGTATATACTATTTATATATATATAAAAATAATGATATTAATTTGCATAGTTAGTCTATAGTTTTATAAAATGTATTTTTATCTTTATATTAATATGACATCCGATATACACGAAGAATAGAAATTCCTGAATATGTAAAAAAATTAAACAACTTCTAATGAAGGAATAAAATCAGAGCTAAAGTGAAAAAAGTACACTGAATAGGTACGTTTCTTTGCTTGAAATCTGAAAAATTCATGAGGATCTATCTCCTATATTTCCTGTGGATATAGGTCCCTTGGGCGRTTCCATTTCCCTCCAAAATCGAGATACCGTTTTTCCCCACTGTCCATTTTCCTCCACAAAAAAAAAAGGTTGGTTTCCATTTTCCTCCACATTATTTTCAACTAAAGTTATGCATAATATTTTCCTCCAATATTTTAGTAAATATTTTTGTTGTAGTAGGTATTACGTTCCGTTTTAAAAAGATAGAGTAGAGCTATAGGATCACATTTTGCGCTTATCGATTGATGAATACATTCTGGTATCGGCTATCTATATCAGCTATCGATTAAGCCTAATAAAGATACGTACATATTATAACATACGGGCATATACGTATATACTTATATATTACGAGTATGTTAAATTGTGTATCAGTTGTTAACGATTAATTATTATGATTACACCATTGAGTGAGACAGACACACGATACACGAATGTACATGTACGATATACTCGCATCAATAAGACTATATTTTTACTTTTTAGTAGCGAACTGTACATCGACTAGTGTCTATAGTGTTGGGGGGTATGTTTATAGTTCTTGTGTTTCTATAGAATTTTAATTTAAACATGTCTGAAAAAGCGACGTTTGTTGATTTATTTGTATCAAACATAATACCTGACAAATACATTTTTTTTGGCTATGCATAAGTTATTTATATTAACTATTTTGTTATTTTATTTATTGGAGGAAAATAGTATTTCATTTTTGGAGGAAAAGACGGTCCCTTATGGAGGGGCCAATTTCTGGTGTTGACAACTAACCAAATTGCTATACACAAATTGAGGGGGTCAGAAGGACCCATGGTACTGAGGCCCAGACTTTCGAGGGGCCCGGCGTGCATGCAAATAATTACTTCAATATACA